AAGGACCAGAGTTCGATCCCCGGTACCAAAAAAAGAAACCACACAAAACAACTGGGCATGGTGGCACACGTTTGTAATCCCAGCACTCAGGAGGCTGACACAGAAGTGCCACAAGTTTGAGGGCACCCTGGGCTACACAGTGAGTTCATGGCCAGCCTGAATTACAGAGCGATATCCTGTGTCAAAAGAAAGTCAAAAGAATTCCATTGATCCTAAAATTTTTCTGTATTTCCAAGACATGTCACCTAAAACCAAAAGAAAATAATCAGCTCTTAGTAGCCATATAATAAACCTTTATCCTTGCAAATACTTATCCTTACTCTTATCACTTATATAAGCTGAAATTTTCCTGTTACCCTACAGTAGTGATGTGGAAAGTCTTAAGTTTTTAAAGATACAAACAGCCCACTGTGGCACACATGCTGTAGGTTCACCACCACTGCCTATAGGGTCTGTCAAGTAATATTTTAACCTTTCAGTCAATGTAGGAAGTCTGCCTTCAGCTCAAAGCACTTTTTTTTTTTTTGGTACCAGGGATTGAACTCTGGACCTTGAGCTTTCGAGGCAGATGGCAGAACCACTGTGCTAAACCCCTGGCCCCAAAGCACTTTTGATTTAGCAGATTATTTGTAAACTATGCATGTTACCTCTTACGTCAAAATATGTAAAGTAGACCCTTTGTTTCAAAACAAATTTAAAACATTTTGAAGTGTAAAAATAGAGCTCAGACAATAGCTTTTTTCAGGTAATAATTTAATATCAAAGTTTTTGTGTGTATGTGTGTTTGAGACAGGGCCTATGTTGCCCAGGATATCTGACCTTCTGGGCCTCAAAATGATCTTCTGGCTTCCTACCATCACACCTTGCTTCAAAATTTTTAGAAGTGTAACCAAAAAAAGCCATTACAGTACTATAACCTTCAAAGCCTGTGATCCCAGCCCTCAAGAGGCTAAGGCAAGAGGATTGTAGTAAGCTGGAGGCCAGCCTGGGATACACAGTGAGTTCAAGGCTGGCCGGAACTACAGAGTGAAACCTTGTCGCAAAAAAACATAAAACAAAAAAACAAGAGTCCATGCACTAGGCCCTAGGTTCAATCCCCAGCACCAAAGAAACGTTCAAGGGCCGGGGATTTAGCTCAGTGGTTCTGCCACCTGGCTCACAAACGCAAGGTCCCAAGTTTGATCCTCAGTACCAAAAAAAAAAAAAAAAGTTCAATACTGACTTCAAATTCTGACTGCCACAGATTATGAACTTCATGTGAACATAGAGCTAGAAAGAAAATGATTAGGTTGTCTAAAAGATCCTCTTAGAAAATTCTAATGAGGCTGGGCATGGTGGTGCACACCTGGAATCTCAGCACTTAGGAGGCTGAGACAGGAGGATCCTCGCAAGTTCGAGGTCAGCCTGGGCTATAAGATTTAGAAAAAGATTTATGACCTGCCTAATTTCAAACAGAATATGCAACAGGTCACATCTGACATACAACTCTGGTCACAGAACACATACAAAATGAGATTCTTCTCTCCAAACCAGAAACAAAAAGAAGCTAAGCTAATACAAGAAATTGGCTCCAATGTACCTCCAATACCATTAGTGTACATCGTTTAATGCATATATATATATAAAATTTGCATTATCTTCCCAAAAAGCTGAAGAAATGATTCCCTAAAAATAAGTCTTAAGAAATAATTTGTTTCCTATCTAGAATTTAACTTTGCACACTGGCTCCTGAAAGTTGTGAATAATTCTTAGTGGATAGTGTAGAAACCTCCTGCTGCTACTGCCCAGCCCTTAAATGTGTGGTTTACTGGTGAAAGAAGAGATTCTTTTTCTAGGAAAAATAAGCCTATTTTATTTTATTTTATTTTTTGACACAAACTGTGGATTTTAGCAGCACTGGCCCAAAGGAATTTAATTACTTTTGTTTTAAATAGTACAAACGGGACACTGTAACTCCAAAATACATCCTTACTGATTTTAGTTGTTTTTAAACTTTCTTTGAATATGTTTCAGAGTGGTAAATTGTGTGTGAACATTACAAATGATACTTTTGGTGGTTTCTTAGCCTCTCTTACAGCCCATGGGGATAGTACTGTACATCAATCAATACCTTCATACGAAATTTTGATATGCAACGAAAATAAAGCATGGGTTGATTCTGCCTAAAGAAAGAAAGAAATAACTTGTTTTAGCTGCATGTAGTGGTGCATGACTGTTTAATTCCAGCACTTGAGAAGCTGAGGCAGAAGGGTCTCTGTGTTAGAAGCCAGTTGGGGCTAGTGAGTTTAAGGCCAGCCTAAAGCACATAGAGACCTTGTCTCAAAAATAAATAAACAAACAAACAAACCACGCAACCACCCTACTAAAAGAACTTGTTTTAAGCCACTGAGAAGAGTAAATACACTGTAAATACTGCTACCTGCAAAGTAAATTTTTCAAGAAGTTACTTTTCCAATAATGTACTCGTTTACTTTTTGAATTTGAAGAAACAAATGAAAAAGAAGGGGTGAGAACGCTGTTCACAAGCACTCCCCAGATCCCTCATCTCTCCGGGCTAAGGCCCAAGTTGTGGAACTGCAAACCACAACTGAAGGAGGCCTCCAACTGTCTAGAGCAGTGGTGGTGAACCTACGGCAAGAGTGCTGCAGCAGGCTATATCACTGAAAGCTCTAAAAGGTTCTCCATCACTGGTCTACAGCCTTCTTCAGATTTTCTCCTTGTCAAGGCAATTTTGGAATTCCCTACATTTAATAGTTTCAAGGGCTGTGGTTGTAGCTCTTGCCTGCAGTGTGCGGGCACAAGGCCCTGGGTTTGATCTCCAGTAAAATACATACATACACACCCACACACATTCTTCAAATAAAGAGCCTTGAATCTACAAGAAGTATTCTCATCAGCTCCCCTTTGTTTCTCAGAATTCAATTAATTATGAAAAATGAAGTTCCTCAAAAATGATATTCACCTTCATTAACTGAAAATTTAAACAACACAATCAAAAACATTCAAGAAAAAAAAAATTCAAGAAGACAGGCATGGTGGTGGACACTTGTAACACGAACACTTGGGAAGCTGAGGCAGGAGGCTCACCCTCAGTTTGAAGCCAGCCTGGGCTACATAGTGAGTTCAAGGCCACCCTGAACTACAAAGAGAGACCCTGTCTCAAAAAAACAAACAAACAAAAAACATTCAAGGGAATGTTTCCCCACAAGAATGCTGCAAGTGAAAGAATTACAAAAGTTTTGGGCAATACTTTCAAAAACAAAGTCAAGGAAAGGTTGACTATCAAGATTTGTATCTCCTCTTCACAGATATAAACCATAAACACAGATTAATTGCATTAAGTTGGTTGAAATAAAGTTCAAAAATAACACTCAGTAAACAAATTTTTTCAGCAGCCAATTCCCTTTTACTGTGAGAAGCAACTAGAGGCTCACATATTGGAATTGTTTCACCTGCTCTTTTGCCTTCATGCCCAGTCCAGGCCTCATATTGGGGCCCATGAGGAGCACCTGAGGAGCAGTTCCTCCAGGGAAGCAGTACCTTTCTACTCTCCCTGGGTGACCTCAGGATTCTGTAGAGATTTCCTCCACATCTCACAGTTGTTCTGGACAATAAGCCACCTCATCTACAGCATTCAAGTTACACAACTGGAAAATAAGGTTGCAAGATCAGGGTGACAAGCACAGACAAATCAGGGCCAGGCTCTGATGGCTTCATTCTTAGTTTCATGTTTTCCACAATTCACTTCCACACCCAAAAAAACTGTCTCCACCTTTCAGAGAGTTCCTTGTGGCCCAGACTTTCTAAGATTTAAAAGCCAAACTTCTTTAGGGATCAGCCTCCACAATCCAGGATTGCTCTGATCCATAAGTCACAAGTCTCCCCCCACCCCACCCCCTGGTGTTTTGAGACTGGGTCTCACTGTGTAGTTCAGGCTGGCCTTGAACCTACTGGCCTCAAACTTGCAGCAATCTTCCTGCCTCAGCCTCCTGAGTGCCATTTCTGCCTCCTGTCCTCCCTGTGAGCTGCAGTGAGGTGTATGAAAGCTTCTGGTAAACTGTACAGCACTTCAAACACATAAGAATTTCTAAAGACAGTACATATCATAATAAAATAAAGAACAGAAAACTATCCTTAACTCATTTTAACTAAAGCTGCCAAAAATTTTAAATTTTAGCCTATTAAATGAGAGCTTTATGACACATCAACCTTATTTCAATAATACTACTAATAAAGAGCTTCCAAACCGTTGTGTATGTTATGTAAATATATTTTTTAATATATACATTCTTCAGGATAGAGAGCAGAGACTAAGCTCCTGTCTCAAACTCTCAAAATTAAACAAATGAATGCCTGCAGGACCTGACAGCAGACTCTAACAAACTATTTATGGCGCAATCACTGCATTTTAAAGCTCTCTTCAAATGGGAAAAGCCTGAGAGGGTAATAGCCAAACTGACAAACATCACTCTTTGAGACAACCAAAAAAAACGAAGTCATGGTGCTTCTCTGCCTTGCTGCTGTCACTCCTAATTTACTGATTATCAAGTGATTAAAATTTGCAACAACCAAAGACTACAATGTGGGACAACAGAGTAAGAACCGATATAAAACGCTGGAGAGTATTTTCCCCAGTACAAACGCTAAATTTTTGTACAGTGTATTTCTCCTCAAAGGGGCTCGTAAAACACTGGGGAAAGGGAAGGAAGACCCTTCCCCCACTAACTCTATCCATCTCAACAGCGGGACAGGTTACAGCAAAAATGAAGCCCTCGGGAGCGGTTTCCCGGCCGAACCCTGCGCCCGGGGCTACCGTGCCCCGCCCGCCAGTCATCGAGAGGCCTTGGGGGCTCCCAGCCCCGATCGACCACGCGGCAGAACCCCGACCCGGCGGGCAGGGCCGCCTAAGCGCCGATGGACACCGCCGCGCCGCAACGGCCACAGGGCCGAGCAAGCCTTCCCCAAAGAGAGGGAAGCTTCCGCCTACCAGGGCGCCCTACCTCATGCTGTAGGCGCCGGCGCCCAGCTCCTGCCCGATCCCCGAAAGGCTGGCGTCGAAGTCGTGCACCAGCCCGGACTCGATCACCTCGTCCATCTTGAGCACCCAGGCCATCTTCCGGCCTCGCCGCCGCCCCGCGCAGCGCGGCCTCCGCGTCCGGGGCGAGGGGGCCCGAGCTCCGCGGGCGCGTCCTGGGGGAGGGCGCGGGTGAAGCCTCCGGCGGCGCGGCGAGTGGTCACCAGCGGCGGCCCGGGAGGCCGCCGAGACCAGGGCGGCCGAGGCCCAGCTGGCAGGGCACAGCGAGCCGGCGAATAGTTGCAGCGGGAGCGACCGGGCCGCCGGCAGCGCCTCCCTCCCGCGGACACCGGCCCCGCCGCGCCTCATGCCGCCGCCGTCGCCTCCACCCGCCCCCTGCGCCGCTCGCGCCGCAGCCGCCCGCCCCGCCCCGGGGCCCCTGGTCGCATCCCCCCGGACGGCGCGGGCGCGGGACCTCAGCCCGCTCCGACAGCCGCGCGGCGAGTCCTCGGCACACCCGTCACCCACTCCCCGGCCTCGACCCCCGGCCCTCGGCCCGCGGCCCGCCCGCCCAGGCTTCAGCGCCCCTTCGCCCCAGCCAACCCCGCCGACGCCGCTCCGCCGGCCCGTACGCTGGCTTCCACAAGGATCCGGCTCCGGCTCACTCGCTTCTTCCGCCTCCTCCGGCCCCGCCCTAGCCCCGCCCCCGCGTCTGCGCTCTCCCCCCCTCCCCCGCCCAGGCCCGCCCCGCCCCGCCCCTCGCGGCCACCGTTTCGGGCCACTCCCCGCGCCTCACAGCCGCGGAACCGCCTCGGGCCGCCGTGCAGAGTGGCCCCGCCCACGCGGCTGGTTTCCAGGGCCGGAGGCCTGGGAGCCTGGGGCGCACCCACCCAGGAAAAGGCGGTGCCAAACGGGCTCCACTTCCCGCCCCATCCAGAGAGCAATGATTGACAGGGGAACTGTGCAATAATGGCAAGAGCCTGGACGAGTTCCCGTGAGGCTCTGTGCCTCTTGGCTGCACGACCCATCAAGATATTCTTCCGCTTGGGCGGATTCGAGGACTAAATTTGCTGCCAAATGAAAGAATTCATTGGACCGCACTCGAGGAAGTGGTTCTGGTCGCCATTTCCGGAGCCTTGCTCTTTCCCAGCAGTCCTGCATTTTATCCTCACTGCGGGGAGGAGAGAGAGGTAGATTTGTGCGGAAATCTTGATTGGCATGAGACTAATCCAATCAACTCTCCTGAGAAAGGTCCGTGACCTATTCTCCAGCAGTTGTGTAGCAGTGAGCAGACTAGAGAGCAGTAAATTTCGAGCATAGTAGGGGAAACACGCCTGATCTACAAGCCCTTACGACACACCCCAATAATTGCTGCAATCCTCAGAAGGCCAGAAGGTGGCCATCTGCAGCCCTTTCTGGGCACGCGCCTCTAGGAATGAAGGATGCAAATCTTTCCCTGAGGGAGGTGAAAGAGGAAGAGTCGGAGTCTGACTTACAGGGTCAGCATGCGGATCAGAATTCCTGAGGGTGGGATTCCAGGAGATTCCTTGAAAGAGCGCGTCTAGACCCCGGCCTTTGACCTCTCAGCTTTAGCCTGATCAAGCTCATTGCCTTCAAATGAGACCCAGATGCTAAGCATTAGCCCTTCGCCTTCGCCTTGTTTACTCGTTTGAGTGCAAAAACCAGATTAAACCTAAATTTCATTCCAGTAAAATATTGGCTCTCAGCTAGAAAAATATTCATACCCCTCTAATTTAAATGTTAACTTGCAGAATTTCTTTTCTTTCTTTTTTGGGGGGAGACAGGTTCTCACTAAAGTGCCAGGATTACAGGGGTGTACCAAGCCTAGCTTTCTCTTTTTTTTTTTTTTTTTTTTGGTACAGGGAATCGAACTCCGGACCTTGCATGTGCGAAGCAGGCGGCGGTACCACTGAGCTAAATCCACAGCCCGCTTTCTCTCTTTAACAAAACATTTTTACAAACCTTTGTAGGTACTGAAGTAAATACAAGTTAATATCTTAGAGATGAGGAAACTCAGGTGCAAATATGTGGAAAGATCTGGCCAAGATCACACAGTAGCTGAGCTAGGGATTTTTTAACTAATCCAGATTGCTGGACTCTAGGCCAAAAGATAGGCTATTATTTTAGGAAGATTTATTCGGCTATTACAAATAATCTGTGTAACCAGGCATCTATTGTGCTGTCTAATTGGGATCGTGGGTATGTCTTTATTCCACAGACCACTTGCTATTCAGTGCTCTCACCTCATTTCCATAACCTAGTTTATAACTACATTAGCCAAGTCTATTACTAATTGTTAGAATATATGGAAAATGGGCCAGGGATGTAACTCAGTGGTTCCTAGGCAAGCAGAAGGTCCTGAGTTTGATTCCTGATACCAGGAAAAAAAAAAAAAATAAATATATATATATATATATATGGAGAAGTAAAATGGGGATATTATCAATCAGTGAGTATTATTTTGATCAGTTTGTATGGAAATCATAAATAGGCAAAATAAAGCACCCTTAAAGGTTAACAACTTTGAGCTTTGAATGCTAGTGGCTCTCAGTGCTTCATTGTTATCAGCAGCTCTCCAGGCAGCTGGAGCTAGCAGCTACCAACAACTCTGGAACTCATCCATGAGACAGAGCTAGCAAAGGGCAACTCTTATTGCTCTGTCACTCTCTGCCGTTCTCGGTGCTAACAGCCCTCAAGTTGCCAGCACCCTTTAGTTTTACCAATGTTTTGTTTTGTTTGGGACAGGGCCTCATGCTATATATTTCAGTCTGGCCTTAAATTCACTATGTAGCCTAGACTAGCCTCAAACTCTTGGCATCCTCCTAACTCAGCCTCCTGAGTGTTGGGATTATGTGAGTGCACCACCATGCCTGGCTTAATTTTTTTTTGCGGGGGCGGGGCGGGGAGGGGTTAACCAGCTCTTAGTGTAAACAGCTCAGCCTAATCTACTGAAGGAGAAATCATGAACAGGTAAAGTAAAACCATCCAGAAGAGGCTTTCTTTAGGTCTTATACATACTTTATGTATACAGTATGTATAAGACCTAATAAAGGTAAGCAGAAGGCTGCTGATACAGACAAAAAGGGTGGGCTCGCCTGTGTACAGTATACTGCTGCTTAACGGTGGACTTTCTGCTTAATCATGGATGGGGAGTAGCTACTTGCCACCCACATTGGGAACATCTGAAGTAGGCAGGTACAGAGGGGTGGATTCATCCAGAGAGGCTACAGAGTGGAATCATCTGTGATAGGAACCTGGAACCAAAGCTTGCCACAGCCAAAGCAAAAGTCTCCCAGAACAGTTGTGGGGTGTCTGGTATAGCCATGGCCAGCCATGAGGACTGTTTATCAAACATGGAGGAAAAATAAGTTTTAAAAAGTACTTCTTGGGGTGGGCTGGGAATTTAGCTCAGTGGTTCTGGCACCTCCCTGGCAAATACAAGGTCCTTAGTTCGATCCCCGGTACCAAAAATTAAAAAAATAAATAAAAAGTACTTCTTGGGGAATATCAGGCCCCTCTCTCTCAAGGGAAGGAGTAATTCTCTGACTCTTAGGACAAGTGTAATAGTGTAACAGTGCAAACCACCATCAGTTTCTTTAATCAGGCCGTACCCTAAAGAACCAATCAAACACATTTAGAAGTAGAAGCTTCATAAATCTATGAAAGTACTAGAAAGCTTTATGAAAGTACTCAAGACATTGGAAAAATAACACAGGCTATTACCTTGATTCCAACTTTGGAGATAGCACAATGGCTGAGAAAGACTGACAGATACTAGAAACTAATGGGAAAGAAAGATCCCTGGAACTATCAAAGGTGATTGGTTCTTGGTGAACAGTAGTCTAGAACAATAGACCAAAGCTCCACAGACCAGAATGGGCTTGAATAGGTTGTCATTGCTCGTTTCAGCAGCACATATACTAAAAAAAAACAGAGGTTGTCAGCTGAATGTTGGATGTTTTAGGTTGGATCTTGTTTATAACCACCTCTCCTCCCATATTTGTCTAGAAGGATCATCTCTACAAACAGCATCATCTCAGTGCTGGTGTCATGCGGGTGGAGCTTGGTCCTGCTAGGATGAAGAGGAGATAAAAAAATATCAGCTAGTTAACATTTCCCCTTCCACACACTGCTATTCTGCAACCTGAGGGAGAAAGTGCTTAGAAGAAAGGAAGGGAGAAGTGTAGAGGTGTTATCGGGTATCTTTTTTCTAAGAAAGTGGCTCACCGACTAAACGTTACTGGGTTTGGAGTTATTCACCTCTCCTTCTGGAGTTGGATTCCAGGTTCTTCTCATCTTGAACAAAGAATTGCATGAAACAAGCAAAAAGCAGTGGCAAATTTTGTTCGAGAAAGTAAAATTGAAGAGTGGGAGAAGAACTGGCTCTGTAGTTTGGGCCGAGAAAATAGAAAAAGAGGGGAAGAGCAAAGATAAAAGTACATACTGCGTCTGGGAAACAGCATGGGCTACCATTGTAAGCTACCCTAGCACCAGTGCCTCAGGGCATCTTTCTTTTGTATTGTCCAAATCTCAAGGAAACCTGTGAGAACTTGTTCAACCAGGTCCTGAGGGCCGTGCTAGGATCCCACCCCTCAGCTTGATGTCAGGTCTGGGCCATTCTATTGAAAATCTGCATGAGTTTTGGAGTTTTCGGAGAAGTCCACCTTCAGGCTTTGGGAATTGTTGTGTAGCTGTGTCTGGGATCTTGTAGTGAACAGGTCACACCTACTTCCCCGGCCAGCTTTTGTTACGCATGTTGTGCCCAGATTGTGGAGTCCCAGAGACCACCAGGAGGCCGTTTCCGATGTAAGCACACAAGGGTCGTTTATT